AGGGCAGATATGATATCATTAAAACGATTCAGCACTCGTCGATAAAACGCCTCGCCTGTTTGTTTCGTTCAAAGTAACCGAGATCGTTCTCGAACAGATCGCTCGTCGCAGTGTTGCCGCTGTTTGTGTTTATTATGAGAATTTACGAAATTTACGGAAGCTTCAATGATTTTTAAACCTTTTTAAAATAATTTGTGAGCCACCAGAATTGCGTTTCGTCTCTTGTCTTCCAGCCTCAACATTATTTTTTATTATAGACTAGATTGTATTGATGCACAGATGGGTGGAGTTTTTAATTCTGATTCCAAAAATGTGTGATACTTCATACATTGATATTGCCAAACCTTAGTTATGTCAAAAAAATCCCTAGGTACGCCTTGAACTTATCAGATCATTTGTTGTACCTTACCCGCTTAGTAACATGAAAGCCTGTATGACAAATAACCCAATAACTATTTATTCATAATATTATACTTGACGCAAAAAAAACAAAAAAATAAATCTAAATCAAGACGATCCCGCTAAGAAAACTATTGTGGAAATGCAGTAAATACACGATGCAGATGCACTGTTTGTATACTAAGTGACATATAAATCCGAACACCCAGTTTAAATGGTTTTATTTTAATAAAATTTTGTATAAGTACTTAATGAAGCATAATAAGTAAATGATAAAAATTTCAAAATGATTGCACTGCTTTAAAGACCTTTGACCTTTAATAATGTGTGGATGCACCCTGATGTGCTACGCATTCTCCAACGCGCCTAGGCATGCTTCTGATCAGGTGGTCAATGTCCTCCTGTGGTATCTCATCCCAGGCAACCACCAACTCCTCTCGAAGTGCTTCTAGAGTCTGAGGAGGACGTTGCAAATTGAGCAATCTCCTACCCATCATATCCCACACGTGCTCAATTGGGGATAAGTCGGGAGATCTTGGTGGCCATGGTGACAATGTGACATCATTATGTTGAAAGAAGTCTACTGTGACTCTTGCAACATGTGGTCGGGCATTATCTTGTTGGAAAGTTGGATCTGCCAGGGTAAAAGATGGGGTTCTAGAACTTCGTAGATATAACGCTGCGCGTGCATGTTACCTCTGATGAAGATTAAAGATGACCTGGAACCATAAGCTATAGCACCCCAAAACCATAACTCCAACAGTGTGATGAACATGTCTTTCAACAAAAAACTGTGGATTCCTCCTTTCACCACGTCGCCTTCTAACAATACTGTTCCATTCCTGATCCCAGAGTGACCGTTGTCAGCACCACTCAAGGCGATTACGTCGGTGTTCTCGAGTTAAAGGGAGGACCCAGTGTGGCCGGTATGAAAACAAGCCAAAACTTCTTATTCGTCGGTAAACACTTCGCATGCCAATAGGTCTTCCGTGTTCTGCAAACCACAGTGTCTACACTTCTTTGCACTCTAACTGCAATTGTCCGAAAAGAAAGTCCAGCTTCCCGAAGTCCCACTATACGGCCCCTATCAAACCCACTAAGTTGACGAAATCGTACAGGTCTCCGTACTCTAGGCATCGTAACCGATCGTAAAGGATGTCAAGAACCAAAATCCGTCAACGTTGTTTCTTCACTGCGGCTGAAATATTCATTTTTAGAGCGTTAGTGAATTAAAAAAATGCAGTATAAAAACCGGAATGTCCAACTGATAAGGCTGAAAATTTTTTCACTTGTTATTTACAGTAAGATAAATACATTCACCAACTTTTATTAAAATAAAACCATTTAAACTGGGTGTTCTGATTTATATGTCACTTAGTATATATCGTTACTCATTTAAGTCGGGCCAGCCATTTCAAATTGTATCAAGCTGTAGCTCCTGAACAGATATTTGAAAGTTATTTCCTTTGATGAAAGGTAGCATGTGCTGTTCTAGACTACGAGGGATATCTTTTAAGTTTTGCATATGAAAATGAAACAACACGGTATTTTCTGGTTCATAACAGTAAATCTACGATTCCTTTTTGGACGATAGTTTATAGAGCAAACTAACATTAATTTTTCCTGTAGATTCACGCCCTTAAATATTTGCATATCATTAAGGAGCACCCTGTATAATGACAGAAAATCGGTGAAATGACAACGGGTTCACTAGGTAGCAGCTATAGTCAACGCCAAACAAAGTGGCGTGCATGTCATCACGATAAAAATTCCCCGACCTAATGCCTAGGTTTCTATCACAAACAATTGCTCTATTGCAGTTTCATATTAATGTGATATATAAATTGTAAAATGGTCATTACTCTCTTATTATGGTTAATAGTCATATAAACATTGTTATTAAAATATCACATAAGTTGCTTTCTGATAAATTTAGACGCATTATGCGAAATAAAATGTTTTGCAAACGCTCCAATCACTTATCGACATGTAAACGCACTAAACCGATTTCGCAGCGTTGACACATTGTCACCTTGAAACTTATTTAAACTGGGAACTGACATTTGTATTAATTTTGACACTGAATCAATTTGTGGCATTTCAAATCTTTATAAATCCTCCTTTGGCCCCGCATACTGTAAATCAACAACTGTTTGTTTCAAAACAAAATTATTCATTTTACGAGTAGATAAAGGCAATTTTGGTATATAAAGATGCCCAAACAGTTAAATAGTCGGTGTAAGGAACTCGTGGCCTCGTTAATGCACTACTTTGAGCAAGAAAGGGACAACAACGGGCCTTTGTTGCCTTTAAATGCTGTTCAAGAGGTAGGTTACTAATAATTATATGTAATGTATATTAATAATAGTGAAATTTTATTTCATTTTTTGTAGCGTGTTGCTGCTGCTTTAAAAATTAGTTTAAGGACAGTTAGTCGTATTTCCGAGGGTGTGAAAAGTGATGCAAATTTAGAATCGCCCAAGAAAAAGCGGAGTTATATTAAACGTGTAACCAACACAGCGACATTGGATACAAGTGCCATTCGAGAAGTGATCTATAATATGTATCACAAAAGTAAGATCTTATTATAATAACTTATCAGAAATTTGCATTAATTTGTTAACTAAATTATAATGTCATATTACACATGGTTTCAGAAGAACAAGTTACGATACAAACTTTATGGTCTCGATTCAGAGATAGGGCATTATTTGATGGTAGTGCCACGTCTTTAAGGCGGTTGCTTAGAGATCTTGGATTTAAGTCGCTTAAGGACAATCCGCGACGAGGGCTCATGGAACTACCAAGTATAGCTTTGAAAAGGGTGGAATTTCTAAGGCAATACAATCAAGTCAAGGTTGAGGCCTTATACCAGTTTGTCTTCCTCGATGAAACTTGGATATCTCAAAATGGGACCATAGGTCGCTCTTGGCAAAATGGAAACCAAAAAAGCGTGAAAGCTATTAAAACAGATGGTAAAAGGTATGTACTTTTACACAATTTGCACTATAAAATTTAAAACTAATATATTTTAGATACATTATATTACATGCTGGAAATGAAAATGGGTTTATTGAGGGTAGTGAAGCGATATTTTCTTCGAAAACAAAATTGAGCGATTACCATGGAGAGATGAACCAGGACAATTTTTTGAAATGGTTTCAACATCAGTTATTAGAAAAATTGGAGAGTCCATCTATGATTATACTGGATAACGCCCCTTATCACAGCATGATATTGAACACAGTGCCCAACAATGCATGGACAAAAAAAAATATCCAAGACTGGTTGACAAATCAAAACATACCATTTTTAAACACAATGTTTAAAACAGAGCTATTGAGTATTGTTGCTCGGTACATAATGCTTCTTAATTATATATATTTTGGTCGACAGTTTATATTTCTTTTGTTTATTCCTATTCTTAAAATAACTGCTTTTTTAGAAACAAACCACCTAAAATATACGTGATTGATGAATTGGCGGAACAACATGGGCACAAAGTTCTTCGTCTGCCTCCTTACCATTGTATATTTAACCCTATTGAGTTAACTTGGGGCATAGCAAAAGGTTACTATAACAGACATATTGGTAGAGATGGTAACAGTGAAAAAGACTGTTTGGATATGTGGAACGAGGCTCTACAAACGGTTACCCCAGACATGTGGAAAAATAGTGTTCGACATACTGAGCAAGAAATTTTTAAATGGTATGAAAGAGAACGAATTTTTGATCTACCAGACATCGAACCTTTAATAATCAACTTTGAGAGTGATGAAGATTCAGATTCAGACAGCGCTGAAGAAAGAAACTCCGACTAACTGTATTGTACAGAAAAAGCTTACACCAGTAGCTTACCTAATTTTAGAATGCATTTTTCTGTATGAATTCTGTAAAATAAATACCATGCATAAAATTTGGAGGACCCCATTTGGATTTTTATTCAGTACCTTTAAGCTATCAATTAAATATGGTAGTTTCATAGTGTCATCTGATCAATAATTGTCATACTTAATGATTATGCAAGTACAGATCTATAATTTTATTATACTATTATTTTTGTTCTCATTTGAGGTTAATATTGCTTATAAACCTAGATATGTAAATAATAAATTTTATTATTTTACAAAAAGTTTGGCAACAATGTAAATTTTTCAACACACCCACCTTGATGACGTGCACGCCACTTTGTTTGGCGTTGACTATAGTGACCTTGAAGTGAATTTCAGCTAGTTTTGGCATGATTTAGTAACAATATGCACACGTTCTCATTTAAAGTAATAGCCCCCAGTTTATGTCCCTAGCAGCTGTCCATGTCCCCTACAATACCCTGATCATCTAAACAGGTCTCGAGTCGCAAACAGCACTGTACCTCCGCGGTAAACATCTCGCGCGTCTATTATTCCTAAAGTGGTTGCGTCGGTCGATGCCAAGTAAGTAAGGGCAATAAACCGATTTCTTCTTTATCTTCCTCTTCTTCCTCGCGGTCTTCACCTTCTCCTTCTACCAAGTAGGAATAACGATGAGAAGATGCGAAATCTCGAGACCGAATCTGCGTAACTAACGCTGCGAATTCTGTTCCGCCTTTTCAGATGATATCGTTAAAGCTGGTGTACAAGTTGTCCAAACAAGCCCCACATACTGTGTGTAATGAGGATTGGAATCGACGTGGAAAATACTGCGAAGATGCTGTGGATTGATAGTCGGATAAATCTACGGAGATTTTCTCGAAAACATTTTAGATACACTCTCGTCGTAAAAAATAAATGCGCAAAGTTAACAAAGCAACAATTGAAAGATTACCATTGGGTAACATCACCTTTATTTTTTATTATGGCTGAAATTGTTTGGGGCATAGTGTTAACCAAGTTTTGGCAAAAATTTGGTGTAAAACAATCCCATATTTCTTGAAGCTTTTGTCTCAGTTCGGTGATTGTTCGAGCAGGATGTTGTCGTAGAACCTTTTTCATCTCGTGCCACAAAGTTTCAATAGGTGACAGATCTGGACTGCTAGAAACCCATTTCAAAAGTGGTATATTATTTTCTTCCATCCATTTTATAGCCTTTTTTGAGGTATGGCACGCTTCACCATCTTGCTGAAACACAAAATCTTGGCCGGATGTCAAACATTCTTCCACCACTGGTAAAATCGATTCTTCTAAAATTGCCAAATATTTGTTTGTATCCACATTTCCATCAATAAAATGAAGTTTTCCTACTGCTTTTGATGACATACTGGCCCAGACCATAATGGATGCTGGAAATTTCACTTTTCTCTTCAGACAGTCAACATGGAATGCTTCATTTTTTTCGAATGAAGTGAATCGGGCCTCATCACTACATTGTATTGCACACGATTGTTGAGTTGTCCATTGTCTATGTTCTTTAGCTCATCTTTGGCCTATAAACAAGTTGTGCAACTTTAGGGTTTTTACTTCACTTTTTTTATAAGAAAACTTACCTTGCTAAATCCCAGTTTGTGGGCCTCTCTATGAGTTGTGGACCTCGAAATTCTCCTTCCAACAGCGTCACTCCACAGAGCACTTAATTGTAAAAATAATTGGTACAGCTACCTATCCGTTATAGACTTATTTTGCATTGATAAAATAATCTATGTGTCGTCCGCGTATAAAGTAAAGTGTGCTCTGGGGAAGGACTGCTCAAGAGTATTTACATATAATGCAAACAGAACAGGCCCCAACACAGATCCTTGTGGAACGCCAACATCCATTTTTATCGCACTAGAATTGACTTGTCCTGAGCAGTTATAAGTTATTGTCACATACTACGATCTGTTTTCTATGAAGGATTTTATCCAGAGGTCGACTGGTCCATCGATTCCATAAGTTGCCAGTTTTACTAATAACAGATCATGGTTGACACAGTCGAATGTCCTGCTTAGATCACAGAAGATACCAACAGGGCATTCTCCTGCATCAATGTACCGAACTAGCGTGTCGAAGAAAGAATGAGATGCTGTTAGTGTTGGTTGGATGTTAGTACCTCATTTCTTTCAAGGAACAGCGTCGACCGACTCAAGAAACAGTATTCGAAAATTTTGGAAAAACAACAGCGAGACGTCAAAGGTCTGTAATTTTTTGCGTTAATAGTTTCTTCCTTCTTGTGTATGGGAGTTACTTTTTCCGTTTTTAAGCTATCTGGAAAAGAGCCAGTACAGAAATAGAGATTGATCAGCAAAACAATATACCAAAACGTTCTTAACCAGGAAATTAGGAATTTCGTCAGCATCTGAGGAACGCTGGTTTTTTAACCTTTTGTCGACCAGATTAAAGAATTCTTCTTCGGTAAATGGGTACAGATCTACAGATACATGTGTTCCCTAACCGCATCGTTGTAGTTAGGAACTGTGGCAATATTTCTGGAAGTTTTCTCTATAATTTCTAGAGGAGCATTTTTAAAGTATTCGAAGTGACATATAAATCCGAACACCCAGTTTAAATGGTTTTATTTTAATAAAATTTTGTATAAGTACTTAATGAAGCATAATAAGTAAGTGATAAAAATTTCAAAATGATTGCACTGCTTTAAAGCCCTTTGACCTTTAATAATGTGTGGATGCACCCTGATGTGCTACGCATTCTCCAACGCGCCTAGGCAAGCTTCTGATCAGGTGGTCAATGTCCTCCTGTGGTATGTCATTCCAGGCAACCACCAACTCCTCTCGAAGTGCTTCTAGAGTCTGAGGAGGTCGTTGCAAATTGAGCAATCTCCTATCCATCATATCCCACACGTGCTCAATTGGGGATAAGTCGGGAGATCTTGGTGGCCATGGTAACAATGTGACATCATTATGTTGAAAGAAGTCCATTGTGACTCTTGCAACATGTGGTCGGGCATTATCTTGTTGGAAAGTTGGATCTGCCAGGGTGTCAAGATAGGGTAAAAGGTGGGGTTCTAGAACTTCGTGGATATAACGCTGCGCGTTCATGTTAGCTCTGATGAAGATTAAAGGTGACCTGGAACCATAAGCTATAGCACCCCAAACCATAACTCCAACAGTGTGATGAACATGTCTTTCAACAAAAAACTGTGAATTCCTCCTTTCACCACGTCGCCTTCTAACCCTGGCACGACCATCGTGCATGCCTAAACAAAATCGAGACTCGTCACTAAAGACAATACTGTTCCATTCCTGATCCCAGCGTGACCGTTGTCTGCACCACTCAAGGCGATTACGTCGGTGTTCTCGAGTTAAAGGGAGGACCCAGTGTGGCCGGTATGAAAACAAGCCAAAACTTCTCATTCGCATGCCAATAGGTCTTCCGTGTTCTGCAAACCATTCATTTGCAATGGACCTGGTAGTGGAGAAACGGTCCCTTAAGGCCAATAATCTTAGGCGGCGATCTTCACGGTCTGTTGTTCTACGGCGGCGTCCAGAGCCCCTTGCTCTTTGCGTACGGCCTTCTCGAAGCCATGCCTGACAACACCTAACCACAGTGTCTACACTTCTTTGCACTCTAACTGCAATTGCCCGAAAAGAAAGTCCAGCTTCCCGAAGTCTCACTATACGGCACCTATCAAACTCACTAAGTTGACGAAATCGTACAGGTCTCCGTACTCTAGGTATCGTAACCGATCGTAAAGGATGTCAAGAACCAAAATCCGCCACCGTTGATTCTTTACTGCGGCTGAAATATTCATTTTTAGAGCGTTAGTGAATTAAAAAAAAGCAGTATAAAAACCGGAATGTCCAACTGATAAGGCTGAAAATTTTTTCACTTGTTATTTACAGTGAGATAAATACATTCACCAACTTTTATTAAAATAAAACCATTTAAACTGGGTGTTCGGATTTATATGTCACTTAGTATAGTTTGCCCACTTTCTTCCAGTACAAAGTTTTGCGTTGTTTTATTTTTTCCACTCAGTTCACCTAAAATGTGGTTTCTTTTGGCCAGAAGATCATGGAGTTTCTATCAACACAAAATACATTCGCAAATATTCCAGGCCGCGCCACGCACTGTGATCTAAATTAAATTATAAATTCAGACCAGCCAAAATTATTTCAGTGTACAAAACCGATCAAAATTATCTTTTGGAGTTACAAAATAATTCTAGTAGTCAAAGCAATAATGCTTAAGCTATACTAAGTGACATATAAATCCGAACACCCAGTTTAAATGGTTTTATTTTAATAAAAGTTGGTGAATGTATTTATCTTACTGTAAATAACAAGTGAAAAAATTTTCAGCCTTATCAGTTGGACATTCCGGTTTTCATACTGCTTTTTTTTTAATTCACTAACGCTCTAAAAATGAATATTTCAGCTGCAGTAAAGAATCAACGTTGGCGGATTTTGGTTCTTGACATCCTTTACGATCGGTTACGATGCCTAGAGTACGGAGACCTGTACGATTTCGTCAACTTAGTGAGTTTGATAGGGGCCGTATAGTGGAACTTCGGGAAGATGGACTTTCTTTTCGGGCAATTGCAGTTAGAGTGCAAAGAAGTGTAGACACTGTGGTTAGGTGTTGTCAGGCATGGCTTCGAGAAAGCCTTACGCAAAGAGCAAGGGGCACTGGACGCCGCCGTAGAACAACAGACCGTGAAGATCGCCGCCTAAGATTATTGGCCTTAAGGGACCGTTTCTCCACTACCAGGTCCATTGCAAATGAATGGTTTGCAGAACACGGAAGACCTATTGGCATGCGAAGTGTTTACCGACGAATGAGAAGTTTTGGCTTGTTTTCATACCGGCCACACTGGGTCCTCCCTCTAACTCGAGAACACCGACGTAATCGCCTTGAGTGGTGCAGACAACGGTCACTCTTGGATCAGGAATGGAACAGTATTATCTTTAGTGACGAGTCTCGATTTTGTTTAGGCATGCACGATGGTCGTGCCAGGGTCAGAGGGCGACGTGGTGAAAGGAGGAATCCACAGTTTTTTGTTGAAAGACATGTTCATCACACTGTTGGGGTGCTATATCTTATGGTTCCAGGTCACCTTTAATCTTCATCAGGGGTAACATGAACGCGCAGAGTTATATCCACGAAGTTCTAGAACCCCATCTTTTACCCTATCTTGACACCCTGGCAGATCCAACTTTCCAACAAGATAATGCCCGACCACATGTTGCAAGAGTCACAATAGACTTCTTTCAACATAATGATGTCACATTGTTACCATGGCCACCAAGATCTCCCGACTTATCCCCAATTGAGCACGTGTGGGATATGATGGGTAGGAGATTGCTGAATTTGCAACGTCCTCCTCAGACTCTAGAAGCACTTCGGGAGGAGTTGGTGGTTGCCTGGAATGAGATACCACAGGAGGACATTGACCACCTGATCAGAAGCATGCAAATGATTTACTTCTTTTCTTTGCTCTATTTCTTCCTTCCCTTCTTTCAATCTTTCCCTTTTCCCCTTAAACATGTTTGGTATCTGGGTAGCCGAACCTGACAGACTAACAGACCGACGAGACTTTTAACTAAGGGCAAAGGTCCACCGGACCGCTCTGACGAATAATGAAGAATAATAGTAGTACCACGGGATACGTTTCTGGTGTTACATTTATGGCTATCAACGGTATTGATTCTAGTAGCAATATTTTCCTTGACACAAGAAAGGAAACGAGATCGTTCGAAATAAGGACGAAGATGCAAAGGGCTGCGTAAAGGGTGTGGCACTGTTCTGTCGAGTACGCTTTGCTTTTAAAATGTATATGCAATGGTGAAAACTAGGATTTATCGATTTTCGGTCGTCGGCTTGACGGGAGGTTGAGGGGCTTAGGGGGGTAGGTTGGGGGTTGAAAGGACGGAGCGCGGGGCAAGGGGGCGGTAGAACGGTGCGGCGCGAGCAACGCCGTCGAAGATGGATATTCGCAAAATAGGGTGGAATACGGAAAAAATTACACAGAAGAGAGTCCGGATTTATACTAAGTGACATATAAATCCGAATACCCATTTTAAATGGTTTTATTTTAATAAAATTTTGTATAAGTACTTAATGAAGCATAATAAGTAAATGATAAAAATTTCAAAATGATTGCACTGCTTTAAAGCCCTTTGACCTTTAACAATGTGTGGATGCACCCTGATGTGCTACGCATTCTCCTAGGCATGCTT